ACAGCAGAGCCAGGGGGGAGCTGGGTGTAGAGCTGCTTTCCCTGGAGGTGCATCCTGGCTGCTTTGTCCTGTCCCTTGGGGAAAGGACACAAATGAATGAGAAAAGGCAGAAGAAGGAAGGTTTGAGAGCCACTGTTAGTGGGATCTCTGAGTTATAGACCCCAATATCTCAATATATGTATTTATAGGCATCTGTATGTGGTTATACTGGATCCTCAGACTCACCTTCATCCTTTGCAGCTTATTGCTAGCTCAGCTGCAGTCTGGGCCATGGGACAGAGCCAACATGACAGCTCAAGGTCTGGTTTCCCCACCTGGCTGTGGGTAACGACTTTGGGAAAGGCAAAACCCAACTGCAGTGATTGCAAAAGTTCTGTGAGAACCTGTATGTCCCTGGCTGGGCTTTCAGCCTGATGGAGGGGTGGGTTCAACATGGGGATGTTCCCCTTCACTGTATTGAGCTGGTGGGGCTGAAGCTTTTGGTCACTGCAAGGAGTCACTGAGTCTTGGAGACCCACACTTACATCATGGTTCAAGTCCTGGCTGGACCCTGATGCCAAAATGTGGGTGTTTGGCTGGAAATCTTTCCATCCAGTAGCCCAGGGAAGAGCAAAGCAGAAGCACTGGGTACTCAGCAAACCCAGCCCAACCCTCAGAACTCCTCAGGCCTTGGGAAGCATCAGGGAGTGAAAGTGAGAGTTTCTCTTTAAGCAGATGGTGCCTTTGTGCTCCAAAGAAAACATTTCTAAACTAATCCCTCAGTGCTAATTCCTCTGGATTTAAACCCTTGAGGAATGAGCTGATTTGTGTATATTGGCCAGCCTGGCAGGTTACTTGGCTTTCACAGGGCTTTGCTGGGATATGAACCTGTTGGTGCAGGTCCCTTCTCCGTCTTAACCCATCTCAGTCCTTTTGTGTCACTCTCCTTCCCCAAAAACACAACCTGCTCCCTGAAGACCCTCCCTGGCTGCTGCAAGAGGGGACCTGGAACCATGGAAAAGTCACAGAAAGTGAGATCTGTGGCTGAGGTGAGCAGCCCAGGGCTTTGCTTCCCAGGAGCAGTCCCCCGTGGGGAGCGTCGAATGCCCTTATTCCCCAAAAAACTGAATCCTTGGATGTAGATGAACAGGGGAGTGACCAAAGGTCAACAAGGACTTCGAGACCATTGCAGGTGTTTTGGTGTCTAATGTGTACAGGAATCTGTAGGAATTAGGTGCTAAAATAACCCTGAGGATGCCACAGTCTGGATGTAGCCTTGCTCAGCTGCAGGGATGCCCCTGTCCTTACAACAACCCTTGCAATGAGTGAACCCCAGGAGAGCACTTACTCCAGGCTCCGGAGCCTCTTCAGTTCTTCCTTGAGAGTTTTGTTCTCCTCCCTCAGGCGGTTTGTCTCATTTGCTGCAGGGACACAAGTTGTGCTGTGGGTTCAAGTGTGGCAAGGAGAGAATGGATGGTCCTTGTAGGGGGATTAGGAGGGAATGGCACCAAGGGCTGCTGGCATCTCACTGTTCCTCCTAAATGCCTTATCTCCTTTAGCCCCACAACTCTCCCCTGGCCAGGCAGATCCCCAGGGAAAAACACCTCGAGCCTGAGCAGTGCTGGGAGCTCTGCCAAAGGCTCAGGACAAGATCCATCACACGTGTTGCTTGATTTCCATTTACCCTTGCTGAGCTGCTGCTGTGACTTTCCTGTCTTTGCCAGAGTGTTGCTTCTGTGGTGCCAGACACATCTTTTTTTTCCAAGCAGCTGCCATAGCCTGGCCAGCTCAGGCTGCTCTCGGCGTGAGCATCTCTCATATTCCTGGAGGTGTGGGGGGCTGCAGCCCCCAGCTCTACCACTTCATCTGAGCAGCTACGTCTCCTTGAGGGCTGCCATCCCCTCAGATGGTCAGACTTGATTTTACAAGACCCCCACACTCCTAGTGGCTCCCTCCTTTCTCCCCATTCCCAACTGCCCCCTGGGTGCCAGCTCACTGGGAGGGCTCATGTACAAGTATCTGGGAGAGGCATTGACTGAGCAAAGACCCAGCCAGGCAAAGCTGAGCTCACAGCAGGCAGTGGTACATACTGAGGATGAAGATGTGCTGCAGGCTCTGGAAATGGGAGGTCTCATACTCATTCTGCTTCTTTTTTGCCAGCTCCTGGGTGACCATACATCTGTCACAGAGACCTGCTCGCAGCCTGGGGGAAAAGCCAAGGCCAGGAGCTTCTTAATATACAGTTCACATGAGGGAAATAAGCTCCTGCCCTCCCCATGGAGAAGCATTTGCACCCAGTCCATCACCCAGAATTGGTGAGATAAGTTATCACCCATGCAGCCCAGCCCTGGCCCTTCCATCCCCTCCCAAATCCAGCCCCACCGCCATCAGCTCAGGAACGCTCCACTACACATGCCCAGGCTCCCAGCAGATGAGTATGAGCCAAAAAGAGAATAATGGGCTACAGCCTGCTCCTAGGAAGACAGCAAACCCCAAACTCTGCCCCAAGGAGGGTGCACTTGCTGCCACTGAACTGCACCCTGTTGAAAAAGAAGTCTTACCTGTTTTCTAACACCTTCACGTTTTCTTTAAGGACCTTCTGTTGTTCCCTTAATTGGTGATTTTTAGCAAACAACTCCTCGATTCTCTGAGCATCACTAATTGAAGAAACAGAGCAAAGAAAATAGGGTTATTAGATTTCTCCCCAAACCTGTGCCTCTATCTGCGTCGCCCAGTCACAGAGCAGGATTCCTGCCCTGAGCTGGCTGTGCTGCTCACACTGGTATGGCTGAAATCCTTCTGCTTGTGTGGCAAGAGGGGCAACAAATGTGTTTGAGCTCATATGCTGTCCTGTGGCACCGCCCTTGGAATTGGGCAGCTTGCTTCATCCTGTTTTATTGCTTCCCAAGAGAGGAAGCTCCAGTTGGCACAAGCCACTTGCCACCGGGAAGATAAACTAGGGGTGGGCTGGGATCACCCCGAGCCCTGCCTGTGCTGGGCACTTGCATGGCAAAAGTCACCAAAAGGCTTGAATTTGGCAGAGCCCCAAAGGCAAACCGTGCTCTCTAAATCAGGCAACCTTGGAGGAGTGCCCGGGAGGTCTGGAAAGGAAGCAGAGCAGCCTCCCCTGTCCCGCCGCGGCGTGGGCAGAGCAGACAGGTGTTGCTCACCGGCACTTCTCCGTCGTCAGCTCCGTCAGCTTGCTTTGCAGCCCTGCAATAATTAGCAGAGATAGAGGGGCGGGTAGTTATTGCCAAATTTCCCAGCACTTCAGAGGCAAAACGCAATGGCAGAACTAGAGGAGGGTGCCTGGGTTTGCAGAAACCTCCTCGATTCCCCGTGTTAAACAACCTCGTGGTTGATTGTAGCTGGGAAAGTTGTGCCAAACGCGAGGACATTTTGTATTTCCACTATTTAATGAGTCTGCATTTCCCCCCACCCCCAAAAAGTCTGTTTTGGTTTGTTTGTTTGTTTTCCCTAATTAGTTCTTGTTACAGCATGCATTTCCCAGGTGGGCAGTATTTTTTACAGCTCTCAGGGCTGTCAAGCATCTTGGAGGGTACTCAGAGCTGAACAAAACCAGCTTTTGATGATGGATCTGCAGACGTTACATCTTGTCAAATCCATTTCATGCAAACTAGATGTAAACATGTGGTTTAAATTGCTCAACAGTTTCCCCTGACTCTCACATGGCTTGAAATTACACAAGAAAGTAGGAATTCATAACCCAGCATCCTCCAAAAGAACTGTTGCTTTGTTCATGATATTGATACTGGGAATTATTCAAGGAGGAAAACAATTGGATTTGGCATTTTGTTGCTTAAGCTACTTGTTCTTTTTTAAAATAATATATGACCTAGGGAATAATTTATTCCCTAGAGGAATAAACACTCTAACCTGACTGTAAGGTTTTCTTTAACAGACCCTCATACTCCTGCTGCTTCAGTCTTACAGATTATTGCATCTTTCCACTTTTCCTTTGATCCCTCAGTATCCAATCATAGTCCAATCTGTGTCATTCAGAGAAGAAGCCCAGCGGGTGTGCAGGTCACTTCTGCCAACCTCCCAGTTCATCTTTATCACAGACACAGCAGCAGGAAAGGAACCAAATCCCCCATGATTAATGCCTGGAGCCAGTGGGATTCCTGCAGGTGGATTATCTCCAGGGATACTGGATGCAGGAACACCCTCTCCATTCTGCTTCTCCTTATTATCCAAAGTTACTGATTCTCTCAGTACACCTTGTTCTCAACAGGGATAAGATGCATAAATAACAAGATGCCATTGGATGGTGTGGTCCTCTGAGAGCCAGGCTGTGACCCTGTGTCCCCATCCATCCCCACGGGTGATGCTTGCAAAACCCTAATTCCCAAAGCTCCCTAATCCACACCTGCTCCTCTTCCCTTCAGGTGATTTCAAACCAGATCAAGGTGGCATCCCAAATAAATGGTTTTTTTTAATAGGTCTTCTCATGTATCCTCACCTTGGACCTCTTTCTCATGGATTTCCTTGAGTTTGTTCAGGAACTCTGCAAAACTCTCTGTGGTCATGTTCAGGGCTGTGCTGCACACCAGGCTGCTCCCAGCACAAGGGTGTCCTTTCAAGTTATTCAGGTTTCAGCTTCAAATGGAAACAAAAAGTGCAATAAAAGAAAAGTGTTTTGTGTATGTGGTGTTCTGGAAAGTCTTAGAAACAAGACAAAGCCCAAATCTAGAAAGTGAAATCACTTGCTAAAGCACAGACATGCTCAAAGCAGCAGGCTCATCCTGGGAGGCATTTTCAGAGCCATCCATCCTGCCTCAGCCCTGGGCTGGGAACATGGGCAGAGTGGAAAGTGAGTGCTTGGACCATGGAAGAACTGAAATCCCAGCTGAAAAACTAGGCTTTTTCTCTACTTTGAGCCGTTTCATTCACATTTCTCTGGGATCCTAAATTTTGAAATTACTAGCAGGTATGGACAACAGAAATTTTGGAAGGGAGAAAGCTTACACCAATGAGGGCACCACTGCTGCTGATGTTGGGATAAACTCTTCCCTTTCCACCAACCAAAGCCTCAAAGAACCTCAGATCCCCTGAAACAGCTGTGGCCCCAGGTCCCTCCTGGACCATGGTGCCACTAGGGAAGTGTGTTTCTGAGCATCCCTGCAGAGCTTTGTGGAGGGTCCCCCAGGGTTTGTTCAGGAAGGCTTTGCAATCTCCCTGCCCCCTGGTCAGGTCACACAGTCCTTCCCACCCCAGGGTGTCCTCCAGGACTACCCAAATCACACTGAGAGAAATGGGACTTCATTGCTTCTCCCCTAGAAGTCTGAGTCACAGCTGGTAATTCCATTCCCAAAAAAGCACCCAGGGACCCAGACTTCAACCGTACTGAGACAACCAGGAAGAAAACCTCCCTTCCATTGTCCGAAGGTGAAGGGCCAGGCTGGGACTTGGGTTTTGCAGCCCCACGGCAGCATGGGGAGGTTTCATCTGACTCGGTGCTTCAGCCCGGCTTCCTGCTGGCAGCCTGCTGTGCCTTTATCTGCATGCAGAGCAGAGGTGTGCCCCATCACCTGCATATGCAAGATGTGGGCACGCAGAGCTGGAAGAAGAAACTTTCCCCTAAAGCGTCTGATTTTCAAAAGAAATGAGGCACGCGCCGGCGTGCTCTGAGCACACCTGGAGCAGCCAAACTGCTCCCCTGCCTTTTGAGCAAACAAGCAGAGATCTCACAGTCTGGAGAAAATAAATGAATTCCTTGCTCCCCCTTTCCTTGGCAGAACCCACCCTTTCCCAGGGCTGGGCGAGCTCTCCCAGCAGGTAGAAGCCACCCAAGGCACGGTGTGGTTTGTCACAGCTGGTGCAGCACAGCAGTGGCTGCCATGAAATGGGATTGGGAACCAATCTCTGCTGCTCAGCCCCAAGAGCTGCACAACCAACCAGGAGAAATAATACAGAATAAACCAACCCCCTGATGTTAACAGGAAGGGCTTGCGAGGATCGCTGAGTCCTGAATTCAGCCCTGCCCCATGCAAAGGACCTCCCCGGGGCTGAAGGGAGGTTGTGAGACCCACCTGCCTTGATGGGGCTGAAACTCTAAGTGCTGGCTGGGAAGGCTTTGAAGTGCTCAGGCACTAATCCCCATTGCATTCCTCAGTGCTGCGAACTGGGAAGGGACTGCAACTGGGAACAGAGCTGGTGGCAAACGCCCCATCCCCAAGGCTGTGGTCTCTGGAGGATCAGCACCTGGCCACGAGGCTCCAGCTGGGACATCCCAAGAAGGTGACATCCAGGCTGGGGCTCATGCCAGCTTGTGGTTTGGGGAAGCCAGACTGGGCTGATCAGTGGGGAAAAGCTGTTGCCATTTTTGGTGCCATTTGAGATGCCAGCATCTGTCCCTGCCCCCTGACACTGCGGCAAACCTGGGACTCTGGTCCACACACACACAGGTACAGAGATGTTACTTGAGCATCACCCCTCATGTATCTGTACCCAGAATTTGGCCTTTGCCGTGGCAGAGCAACCCTGCAAACAGCCCAGACTCTCCAAGGGCTTCAGCTTTGCTCCCTTCTCTCCCGGTTTTGGACTGGTCAGGGCATGAAGCTGCAGCCCCCCCAGCCCCACTCGGGAGGACTTATTGAGGGAGATTTATCGATGAAGACCAGACCACAGAGTCCCTCAGTGTGGAGCTCACTCCCTGAGACAGGCATTTCATTTACAGCCCCTGAGCCCTTTCCAGAGCTGTCACTGTAATGTACCGGGTGTATTCCAAAGTGACGGGTGCCCTCTGCACTGAAGGCAAACTCCTCCTGCCGGGGCAGGGTGGCTGCTGAAACAGGAGGTTTTGCTCACCTGCTTCTCCCGATGCTCAGCTCAGGGGTCTGGGTGGGGGCACAGGGTGCCCGGCGTGTCGGTTGTCACACATGGGGCTGGGGCAGCCCCCGGCACCGCCCGGGTACCGATGGCATCACTCCCCGGGGCAGGATGCTCCTGGATGCAGCTGAGGAAAGGAAAAGCATCAGGGAGGTAATTTCCTGACCCGTGCCAAGGGGCTTGGGAAGGGATGGGTTTGGGCAGCTGGCTCAGACAGCACAATTGTTCCCTGGCCCCTGGGGGGGGGAGGGTGGGGATGGTGCCAGCAATGCTTGCACTGAGCCACAGCACATCCTCACCCTCAGCACCGTTTCATTGCAGCAGAACAAAGCAGCTCATTAGCTAAATGAGCTTAAGACGTTAAAAAAAAAAAAAAAAGAAAAAAAGAAAGGCAGGACTCTCAAGTTCTGACACTGTCAGATCAGCAAAGCTTAATGGATTTACAACCAGATATTTCCCCATCAGCAGCCCTGGGGTTGCTCAGCTTTAGGCTGGATTGATGTAATATGCCTTTCACTGGGCAATTGCCTGGCAGGGCTGCTTTCACCAGCCAAACTTTATTTTCTTGGCTACCCTACTATGTTCCAGATCTAATTTTAGAATTATAAATTGAATTTATACCCAGAAAAGCTGCCTGATCACTCATGGAAAATCTGCAGTGCCAAGAGTATGTTGCAGGTCAGCGTGAAGCTGATCTGCTTTGCTGATGTGCTCTGTGCTTGGCAGATTGGAGGGAGTGTTCTGTGTGGCTTTTTTTTAAAAAAAAAAAAAAAAAAAATTTTTTTTTTTTTTTTTTTTAAAAAAAAGCTTTTTATGTTTTCTGGGCACTTATATATTTGCATGACTTAACATGGCACAGGCTGTCCTAAAATGGAGCTCAGTGCTTGCCCTCCATCATGCTGGTTTTGTGCCTGGGTGTTGCACAGGGGTGGCAGATTGCAAAATTTCCCCTCAACGGGTGAGACAGGAGGAGCAGCTTTGGCTCTCACCTCTCCAAGGAGGAGGACAAGATGCCTTCCCTCACCTCACACAACCCGAAAATCCTCCCCGAAGCAGGACAGCTCCTCTGTGCTGCTCTGCCAGCCCAGGGGCTGGTTTGCAGCCAGCCCTGGCTGCAGACACCCTGCCCCAGGGTCACATCTCCTGACTTAGGTTGGGGATCCCACCTGGGTGGTGTGGTGCCCCAGCAGGGCTACAAGGTGTCTCGATGGTCCTTTGGGGTGGCTGGAGACCAGAGCTGGTTGCAGCCCCTTGAACAAGATAAACAGGACCAGGGAGATGCTGCCCCTGCCCACGTGTGCTGACGTGCCCCATCCCAGGGAGATGAGAACAAGACTGAATCCTCCAAAAAGAAGCTCCAGCCTCAAGTTCCAACCTGTACACCTATTTCCTTCAACCCTATAAAGTGTTTCCATAATAGAGCACAGCACCAGCTATCACAAAGCTAGCAGTTCAGTTTCTCCCCCATCACCTTGGACCTTTGTTGGCAGCTTCTGCTTCTCTAACTGTGGTGACAATCACCAAAGCAGCAGAGATTTTCTTCCATTACCTTATTTCTGCTTGAGAGCCCCTGGCTGGTGAGTGTCCCTGTGTCCCGGGACATCTTGCCTCACAGTGCAGTCTTTGCTGCCCTGGTGTTGCAGAGGGCAGAGAGGGACACACCTGCATTTAGACCCTCTGGTCATGCTGTGATGCTCCCTGGAGCATGGTGGGCTTTGTCCAGACCTGCAGGCAGGTCTCCCTGCCCGTGTGAGCATTCAGAAGATGATTAAAAGTAGCCACTTATCTGCCTGTGCATCTTGGGGTAACCACAGCTTCTGTAAACATTAGTTAATTAACACCTCAAAATGCTCTGGGAAGTGGGTAATGAAGCATTATCACAGTTTCCAGTTGTAATTGGGAAGTGGTGAGGGGGAATAGCCCAAGGCCCTGCTGGGAGCGGAGACAAGTGGCCACCCACTCCTCCCAGCCAACATGCCCCTGCTGCTTTCCCCATCCCCAGAGCCCTTGGCTGGGGAAAACGGGCAGTAAATACCCTGGGAAACTCTGATAGATGGTGGGATCAACACATGCTTCTCTTGTGATCCCATTGTGCTGTGCATGGCACCTGGAGAGCATCTGGATCTTGCTGTCTCCTCCTCCATGGCAGGAGACCTCAGCAGCAGCATGTCTTGGAGCCCATGCTGCTCCTGGTGGGTGGAGAATCTGTCATTCCTGGCCCTGCATGGGCAAGCAGGTCTTGCGTGGGGTAAAGGGCATGAAGATCCATTGTCACCACGCTCAAATAAACTGGGACCTTTGCTTGTGCTGTGTTAGGGTGTTCACAGTTGTACCAAGTCCAGCTCATGGCCATGCAAGCAGAAAGAAATAATCTCCATCCCCTGGACGTGATGCAGGCAATGACATCTTTAACTGAATCAGCTTTTCTCTTCAGCACTATACAAAAAAAGGGGTTATGTAGTAGGAAGATTCAGTCCTGTGAAACCATCCTGGGTACTTCAGCCCCACCGGTTGAACCAGGTCAGCAGGATGGGGGTGGGACAGCCTGCAGCACTTCTCCTCCGTGGGAGCTCACAGGGCCTCAGGCTGCTGGGTTTGGCCCCATCCCTGTGGCCAGGGCAGTTCAAAGCTGCTGGTGGTGCAGGTCCAAAAGCAGAAACAGGTGGCTGGGACCTGCTCTTCATGGGCACAGCCCAAC